GTACTGTTTTCCATTATCTACATGTGCATATATATGAAACTCCAAATTAGTTGATATTTCTCATTAACGTCTTGATCACTGTCCCTAATCCTATTCCTCCTAAATGACCATAAAAGCTAAAACCAGTATATTTGGTATTAAAACATTTAGTCAATCAGATTACATATACGCCAACGCATAAGCTACTCTATATATACTCGAAGAGTCAACGAAAATATTGCGCACTGCTAAAAAGCTTTGGGAGAGCAATGGAAAGAGAACCAAATGGAGGCATGGTAGAGCACTCGAGCTGTTGTTCAAAGCTTTCTTGATACACTGCATTACGTAGTCACAATCATTGTGATTACAGAGCTCAAACCGCAAAGACACATACCTAGCGTAAAAGCAAAAACTCTTTAATCGAATTCCAGATTTATATTGAAATTAAATCAACATGTCTGAGGCAAGCTGCGATCAATATGAACACTACAATTATGATCACGACAAACACATGTTCTCGGGGCACAGCGGCAAGCAGCGCACCAAGAAGGAAGCCAGCGAGCACACCAATCACTTCGATCCCTCCGGCCACTCCAGAAAGATTCTAACTAAACTTGTCAACACGAACAACAACAACAAGAAGGCGGCGTGCAAAAACTAAATGTTATATATATGTATATTTATATAAGTAAATTTAATCAAATCGAATTTTAATTATACTAAAAATGTTGACGAAAAAGTGAAAGGCTCTGGGGGAGAAAGTGAGAAGCGGGCCTTTGGCTAAAAATAATAGCTTGTCATCGATAATAAATGTTTTTAATATTGCTTTAAATTTAGTTGATTTAGAATAATTATAATAAAATTTAATATTTATGTATATGACTTCTAAATGCAGAGCCACTTAGAGAGTATATGGCTATACATATTTTCAGATCAATGAATTTCATACGCTTTAATAAACATTTATCATTTCTAAAAATATGATAGTTATTTTATTTGAAAACTATTGTTTGAATTTGTCGATTTAATAGAATTATAATAGTAATTCATTGCATAGCAGAAGCTGACACCCCCAAGTCTTTTAAATTGACAATTTAATACTTAATGTAAAGTTGAAGTAAAGAACATATTTAATTCATTGTAACTATTCAATAAATCATTATTTAGCTATTTTAAGTGTTTTACGCGATTCAACAACAAACTATTTCATATAAAAATGTATGAAAAACTGGTCCACTCTAATGCTACTCGAATTTCTTTGCCGGCTTTTTCTCTCGATTTGCCGGTTTCTTACTGCGCAGTTGTTGATATTTGGTAAACAAAAAGAAAAAAAAAAAAAAACAACAAACAAGACCTCGCTGGTTATCAGGTGTTTCTTCTAGTTAGTCATCATCATTGTGAACATCATTATCAGGTGTGTTTGCAATTGTTCAGAAAAAAAATTTTTTTTACTACGCTGTTACAAAGTTACGAATCGTTTCTAAAGATTCCACCTTGAACGCGTTTGTTTTGGTTGATTTTTAGGAAAGTTTTATGCGTAGATTGTAAATAATTGAAAAGGTCATAAAAACTGGTTTACACCTAATCGGTGGAACTATTGGCAATTGACATTTTGAGTGCTTTAATGTGCAAAATAAATTGTGGTTTTATTTTAAATGAAATTGTTTTATCTTCCTTCTTTTTAAGATACTCAACAAGTTTGAACTCTTTTTACTTTATAGTTTATACGAATACTTTTATTTGTCGTAAGATAATATTGAGTCTTGGCAGCAATCGCTTGACATAGGGCTTAGGGTGTCTGATATCGAGTGCTTCCAGCTAAAGGAAACTAACTTGCTCTTGAAACAATCTAATCTACAAAATGTAAAGTTCTTTATGTAATGTTGTAAAGTTCTGAATGTAATGAATATAAGTACATTTATACATTTGAAGTTTTTCTATTATTACGTATTACTTTTCACTCTAAGCGCAAATGTCGCTTTAGAAAAATATATAAGAAATGATTGTGGTTTCATATTTAAGTATTTCAGTTTCCATTCAATTTGATTATACGTATTAAGCTGTATCAGCTCTATTAATAGATGCCATAGGAGTAAATTTGACCGTAACATCTTCATTGTCAGCTTTGACAGATTTCTTTCTTTGGCATTAATGAAGGAGCCACGCTCTCTATGAAGTATGCCCCTACTCATACTCATATATATTCATGTTTATATGTTTATCCGTGTAAAATCTGATATAGAATGTGATAATACGCGTGCCACACGCCAGAAGCGGGCCACAACTGAGGGCTGGCATCTGGTCAATAATATTGCCAGACAATACTCGATTCAATCTTCAGAATTGAGATCTTCTTTAGGGCCACACTTCGAGGAGACAGCAAAGGGCGAGAGTCTAGGGCGGAAATCATGTTGCGCACTTTCACCGCGAAAATGAATTTCGAGGTAAACAAGTGAAGATTATGCATAAATGAACGTATCGATATATACATACACATGTATAGATATACACACACACACTCATATGTGTGTGCATGTATGAGATGATAATTGATGTAGCACTCGTTGCCGAATGAACCGTTAAATTGAAATTGGAGCAGTGCCCCAATACTAGGCAATACGCGCGGCGCACGGATTAACACCTTTCAACGAGGCTGCGTCGAGACGTAGATGTTCTAGATACTGATACCAGCGGTAGTACCCACATTTCTCTTGCATTAGCACCAATCTTACACACACACATTCATATATATTGAAAATCTTACTAGATTATTGGAATTGGATTTGAGTTTTTGTGGCAACTCGCTTCAAGTTCTGCATTTAGTTAACGTGTGGACACCCAGCCGAACGGCAGCTGGCGCGGATTAGGAATAAGCAACAGTTCTATAAAATATACACATATATAGAATGCTGGAATACACCGATATGTCAATGAAGAAGCAACGAAAGTGCGTGCCGGGTATATGGACTCTGATCGTAGCCGCGCTGCTCTTTGCGGTGACCCTAATGGGCGTTGCTCTGCTGGAAGCGAATCGAGCCCAGTCGGGTGACGTTTTCCTTGTGCGACGTCTGTGGTCGAAGTTTGGAGCAGCCACAAACGCATCGGACGGTGCAGTTGCAGCCACTGTGGGGCGCATAGCGAGGGATGCCATGAATGCCAGTCGGACTACTGCAACTGGCAGGAGTAACAACTACTATGAGGAGCAGCAGGCGGTGGTTGTGAAAGAGGAGGATGCACCGCCGGCTATGGCCGAGCGCATAGACTCGTTTGGACCACCGCAGGGCAGATCATACGAGATGGACTCCAGCTACGATGCGGCGGACGAATATGGCGGAGAGCAATTTGACTCGGCGGAGGAGACAGGCGAGGGCAGAGCGGCCCAGGGCAGACCCAACGATTCCTACTACGCGCATTGGCAATATGCCACCCAGACAACGGCGCCACCTGGCAGCAACAATCGCAAGTTGCAGCCAGCAGGCAATCGGTAAGAAAAAGAAGAAACTGCGTTTCTATTGGCTAAGTCCAAGCTTAATCTTGATTCATTGCAAATGCAGCCCGCCCTATGCCGCCTACGATGAAGTGTATGACTATCCGATGGGCTTTCAGCCGCGCCCCCAGGAGCAGCCAGTCTCCAAGCAGGCCGTGAGCGCTCCGCCTGCCCACGCCGTCGCCTATGCGCCAGTATCCACGGAATCATCGCTGGTCACGTTCTTGAAGACACTGAAACAAATGTGGGATCTCTATCAGGCAGTGATAAGCGCCTGGAGCTCGGTTGCTGAGCGGCATCAGCAGAGCAGCGAAAAGCTGAAGAAGGAGCGGCAGGAGAAGCAACGTCTGCGCCAGCAACAGCAACAGCAACAGCAGCAAGCGAATAAATCCAGAATCAATTCCAAGAAACCACAGCGTGGAAATGGCAATAAGGCTGCAAAGCCAAATCAGAACAAAAAGGCTAAGACAACGACAACGACAACATCGACGAGCACCAGTAGCAGCAGCAGCAACTCCGATGAGGCGGAGGAGGCAACAACTACTTCAGTTGCAATCGTAAATGCTGTCAAGGCCAATGCCACTGCGGATGCTGCTCAAGAGAGCTCGGAGCGCGGCATGCGACACAAGCGGGAGCCGGAGGCAGCCAGCACGGATGTGGGTGAGGGGCGTTACATCAAGGGTGATCCACTGAAGGGCTACTATGATTTCGTCATCACCGAAGGTTCCTACAAATTCTGGGCCGCCTTTCAGGTAAGATTGAGAATTGATATGGAGAACCTCAATAATATTACTCTCTCAATTCGCAGGTGGGCACGGCACTTCTTATCATCTATTCCACATTCGCTGCCATTTACTACTCGAAAGTAAATCCATTGACCAGCGATTACGATTATCAGGATTATCTGGGTGCCGGACGCTCGATGACGGGCGGCGATGATGATTTTGTGGACGACAGCGAACCAAGTACTCAAACTAAGTCCACTTCGCGTATTATGGATTGGCTACCACGTACAGCTCATTCACTGAAATTCATACTGGATGCCATCGATAAAATGCCAGTGGATCATGGTCATAAAGAGGAAACGGGCTGGTCAACGGGGAACAGCGATACAACAGATGATGCAACAAGCACTTAGGACAACTATTTTAAAATATTAATGAAATAAAAACAATTTAAAACCAAATATAGAAATATTAGAATATTCATCTATTTGCACAATCGAATATCGTTTGAGTTCGCTGTAAGCCTTAATATTTTACAAATCCCGGGAAAAAATTGAGTTGGCGATTTCAATTACCACTATGCCATATAATTAAATCAATTTATACAACAATAATTAAATTAATGTTAATAATTCACCTACATAAAAGAATAATTCTTCCCCCACTTTTGAATCGTATTTAAGAACGAACATTCCGCTTATCTGAGCCGCCAAATTCAAAACTATTTCATATTGGAAAAAATGTAACATGTACACACTTTTTGCCATTCACTGCAAAGCGTGAACAAATAACATTCTCACATCAGCTGACAAAGTCATATGTTTTGTTTTTTCTAGACGACGTGTAATTTGCGCCTGCAATGACAATAAAATTGTAAAAATCCAAAACAAAATAAATTTGAAAAGAAAATAAATTGTAGCACAAAAAAAGACAAGACAATGAACCGTAAAATGCTGCTGCTCTTACTGCTGGTCGCTGTAACAGCAGCGCACGATGCCAAAGACTTTGATGATTCCGTGCTCTACAAAATAGATTTCGAAGTGCCTAATTTATTAAGTGATCCGGTAGGTGAAAATAAAGTGTTATTGCAGTAATATAAATAATAATGGGGTTTTACATGCATTAAAGGAGTTGGGCAGTCAGTTGCGTACTTTTTATACACAAGAGAAGGAAAAATACGAGTGTCTAATACCAGAGCTGGAGACGCCCAAGGAGGAGGAGAGAGCTGACCAGCCAGAGCTGTGTAAGTATGACACCCATTTTTTCATTAGCAGACTCATAGTTAAATTAAAATACCTTCTCATATAGCTCCTATTGCGCTTCTGCAGCCAATTTTCTCGGCAGCCACTTGCTCATTCCGAATTGAAGCCTATTGGTCTTATGAGATCTGCCATGGCCATCATGTGCGTCAGTATCACGAAGAGCGCGAAGGCAAAAATGTGAAGTTCCAGGAATACTATTTGGGCAAATGGAGCGAAGAGAAAACTGAGCTGGCTAAAAAGACCTGGGAGCTGGAACGTAAAGCCGATGGCAAGCCAAAGTATAAGACGTTGAAGATCGATAATACAAGATATCCATATTTTGAAATGGAGTTCACCGATGGAACAATGTGTGATATTATTGATGCGCCGAGGACGACAATGGTGCGCTACGTCTGCTATCCACATGGAAAGGATGATATCTATTCACTCAAGGAGACCTCATCGTGCAACTATGAAGCTATTATTTTGACCTCATCGCTTTGTGCTATACCTGCTTTTCATGCTGAGGAGACCAAAGAGATATCCATCAAGTGCTTCAATTCACAAACGGAGCCACATAAACCAATTAGTATGCTCCGCCAAGAGCTGAGCGAATGGGAGGAGAGCGAAAACGATTTGCTTGTGTCGAAGGAGAGCAAAGCACCAGCCAAGCTGTGGTCCAAGACAGATGGCGATATGGTTACATTCAAGTACAGCGGAGATGTGGATAAAATCATATTGGAGCTAATGGCAAATAGTGATATTGATGTGGAAAATGAATATCAACACTTGATTTCGCGATCCGCACAAGGCACAACTCCACCGCCTTTGAATGATCTGACACCCATCAAGGAATTCATTTCCGGCAAGAATTGTCTAACTGGAGTAAGTAACTCAAAACATCCACAGTATCTTCATGTACTTATCCCTCTTCCCTGCAGGGCACCGGCTGGTGGAAGTACGAATTCTGTTATGGCCGGCATGTGCGTCAATTCCATAAGGATAAAAATAGCGAAGTCGAATTGTTTTTGGGCTATTTCTCTGAGGAATCGCATCGCTTGTGGGCCAGCTCGAATCCCGATAAAGGTGCACGTCGTCCAGGCTTCACTTCATCCATATGGCATCACTATGAGAAGGGCACACACTGCGATCGCAGCGGTCTGCCACGCGAGGTGGACGTTAAGCTAACTTGCACTCCAGTCACCTCCAGTGGCACAGCGGTCTCCATGTACTTGTTGGAGCCGAAGACATGCCAGTATATTCTAGTCGTAGAATCGCCCATCATTTGTGATCTCATGCATTATGCGGACGACAGTGGACTTGTGACGGCAGAAAGCTTGCAAAAGTTTCTGGCAACTGATAAGCCAGCCCCAACAGTTCCATCTACTGAACGAAAAGCTGAAGCTGAAGAGCAAATACGATCCTAAAGTTTATTGTAAATACAAACATATGAAAATATATATTTAATGCTAAGGGGTACTCCCCACTACTATCTGGACTAAATTCATAAGTTTAAGTTTCATGTAAGACTATAAAAATGAATTTCCATATACAGATTCATAGAGCTTCATTTTAGACCACTCATTTTTAAATTAAATGAAAGTTTAATAAGTTTTTTACGATTGACAATTGTTTAACAAAGACACGAACCACACATGTTGAGATTAGCGTGTTCAGGAACCACTTGTGTATTTTTCAAATATCTTATCAACCATATAAAAACCTTTCCAGTTCGTCATATTTACATCGATTTTTATTGTCGTTTATCTACATATAGCAATTTATATAAAATCGTAGTTCATAATTCGTCTTATTTACAATACTAATAATATGCTAGTGCTTCTTGACCTTTGTTTTTTGTGAAGACTTTTGCTTCGTGGCTCTGCCGCCACAACACTTGCTCCATACGAACCTCAGCACAGCTTTGCTTATCAGAACGATAACCAAGAGTATCGCTGCCAGTAGTAGGTACAAGTCAATATTGTGGGTAGCAATGTAGCCCATTTTGACTAGGGGACTCTGCATATGGGCGGCTCCGTGATGACGAAGGACATAGTTAACCCAGTAGATAACCGAATCGCGAGCCGACATTGGACGATCGCGGTAGATCTTTGAGAAATGTTGAATCTTATTGGTGTAGGTGGGATTGCTCAGCAGCTCCTTGATTGCATCCTTGAATTCGTCCACCTCTAGGGTCAGCAAATCGAGCTTCAAGCCATAACCCGATTCCACCAGTTTATCAGCATTTCCTGGCTGATCGGCGAACACTGGAAGAGCTAGCATGGGCTTGCCATGGTACTGGGACTCGGTGACGCCTCCTTTGCCTGCATGCGTGATGAAAAGCTTAATGTTGGGGTGGGCAAGAATGTCGTCCTGTGGCATCCACTTCTTGAAGAGTATATTTGCCGATTTGCCAGGCAACTTGTCCAGATCATCCCACTTCCAGATCACACGCTGCTTCAGCCCAGCGAGCACTTTGAATATCTTTTTGATTATCTGTGGATCAATGTGATCGCCTTTCAGATTACTGCCCAGACTGAAGAGAATCGCGCCATGCTTGGCCCCATCTAAAAACTGCTGAATATCCTCGGGCAGCGGATCTCGCTTATCCTTAATCTGTATGCCACCAATCTCCACAAGCGCCGGCACATTGGGTCTAATGGGTCCCTCGCTTATGCCGTGACTGCTGCAAAAAGCCAGTGAAATGTTCTGCTTGGCCTGCTCATAGGTCATCATGGACGGAATGTTACCCCATAGACGACTAGAAATTGATCAATTATAGATATAATGTACATAAGAAAATAATTTTTAAATACTTACTCATAAAACTTGTCATTCAGTATCTCCAAGTAGAAGGCAAAAAGACGGAAGAACATGGTGCCACCGAAATTGGCCAGACGCTCCTTAAAGTTCATCGCTCGGCCTGGAGCCACGGCTACATGCATGGAGGGCACTGACGAAATCAATTCGGGATTACCGATATTTCTGTCGATTTGCATCATCGGCGGCCCAGTCCAAGTCAGAATAATGGGACAATTGAAGAGGCTACCCAGTCCCACCTGATAGTTGTTGAAGAAGAAACCAACAATAACTGCATCGAATTTATTGTCTTTGTTCTTGTAGAGATCGGTGAATCGTGTGTCCTCCAGGACATCTACTTGCTTATAGATGAGCATAGACAGCGAACCGAATATATTCCTGAACGTTGTAAATACCGACGGCTTCTCTTTGGCCAAGGAGCTCATGCCGTCGTTCAACTCCTTCTCCTCGGCTGCACTCAGCGGGATAACGATGTGCTTGATGCTCTTGTGGGTCACTTTTGGAGGAGTGCCCGATACCACGGTCACATTGTGTCCATCCTCCGCCAGGGCCTTCATAATCGACATGTTGATTATGAAATGTGATGGACTGTGGCTGGTGAAGACGCCCAATATGTTGGCGCCCTCGACTCTGGCCGACTGCAGCACAAAGAATCCAAGCAGGAGGCACACAAATGTGCCGGACAGCAGTGATCGACCCATGTTGAAGTCTTGCGGACAATGCGTTCTTTAACAAACTAAATAGTGTGCCTTGACTGCATTCCTTTATATAAAGACCGACGGCCGTCTGATAAGCCTCGATGCCTGCTGATAAGCGCTCTTGAATCGCCGGCCACGTTATTGTTATTGTCCGCACTGTAAATGTTATACATAAGTCGGAACAATTGATAAGGGAGGTGGAGATTTAACCAGACTATCAAATACCCTACTTTTAAGTTAAATAAATATAATTTTAAATACCCTCCACTTATGCATTGATATATATCGGTAAATATTGTCCTACATATTAATGAAATAGATCTTTGGGTTTTGACCATTTTGAGGAGTCATCGTTTGATACAATTATTGTTACTTGCGCTCACTAGAATACATATTGATCAATTTGTAATTTTGTGGTGGGTTTTAGAAACTTGCGTGGGTTATCGATTTTTATCGATTTTAAATAACCTATATAGGTTATCGATTCTATTTAAATAGAAATGTAATTTAGCTACATTACAACGGATGTGACCTGTATCATTACTTTTCAAACTTTAAAACGTTATCGATAATATAAACAGTATATTTTACTATAGTTGTCATGTTTGAGGAATTTTATTAGTACATGAATTTGTTTACCATCTTTCTATAACATATTTTTCATCAAAAACTAATTCCTGAGAGCTTATCTGTAAATACATATGAATTTCAATACATATGCTTGGTCAGTTTCAATATCAAACGAATGATATACGATAATTTTTGGAATTCATACATTTGCTGTTACATAAATGAGCACTGCATCATAATACCCTATTTTGTAGACATTCTTCATTTGAGTGCACGCCAGGGTATTAACGACAATCGGTTGCTAGCTACCTGTCCTGAATTGTGATATGTAACCCATTGCTTAACGTTATCACATAAACATAAAATGCACACGTCATATTAAGAGAAATACAAGTGGAAAATTATGAAATTGTCGGCTCTCTTAATGGCAATTATTTTATCTGACTCAGAGAATGCAATGTTAACGGACTGCATTCCGCAATTGATCTTTGATTAGAGAGCACGATAGGTTAATGTTCTAAGTCGATTGTATATATGTACATACATATATCATTTATATGCATAACTTGTCCGGCACAAACATAGTTTTATATATAAATTGAGAGAAAAACAACAACTACAAATTGGCAATTAGGGAATTCGTATTTAAAAACTAAAGAAAAAACAAACCAGAATGAAAATCGCGTGAATTCGCGTTCGTTTTGCTCGTTCCGATGGCAACGGCGACACTGAGAGCTGGGCGAGAATCAGTTGAACAGATGCGAGTCACGCAGTTAATGGGGGAAAACTTGCACTGTACAAAAATAAAATACCTTATTTACATGAATTGTAAACAATAATTGATATTGTCTCTATGTGTTCACCTAACGTAAACACGTATAATTCTTATCTGAAGGATAGAAGTAAATCTTTGAGTAAAAATATATATATATAAGTCAACGGAAAGGATACACAGAAAGAAATTGCTACGGAGTTTAGCTTTAAATATTAATTTATATGTATATATATATATATATATATATATATATATTTTTTTTTTTTTTTTTTTTTTTTTTTTGATATTTGATAGAGAGAATTGAATTATGGGATAATTTATTTCTCGATATACGTGACTATAAGGCTATAAGACTATAAATATATTTATTTATATTATAGCTATACACATCTTATAGCTATTATTAAATTATTTCTTTATCGATTACTTTTCCAATAAACAGTTTATATATTTATTTTTGATTGATTTTTGTACTAATTCATTTATTATAGCAATATAATTTAATTTTGTGTATATATTTGTAATTAATTACTTATTTGTTGCATATTTCTTTACTTATTGATTTTTAGATTTAATAATCATAAAAGAAATTTTAATTATTTATTCATCTATTTAGTTATTATCTCACTTAGTTTTTCGTTAAATATTTATTTCTTTTATTAAAGTCTATGAAATCTGAGAAAAATTAAAAAAAAAATCTGTATAGAAGTAATTTTTTGTATTTATTTTATTTTTTTTTATTAACTTTTATATTTAGACTAATAAATGCACTTCAATACAATTTCATTTCCTAAAACAGAATATATAAATATATATAACATAATATATGTGAAAGTCCCGTGGAAAAAATAGTTCATAATGTTTCTATGAAACGAATACTTTCTTACTAAGACATTTCGAACAGTGTAACTGTAAACTAAGAGCGGCAGAGAGGCCGTTGAATGGACAATCAGCGCCTATTAATAGTCAATACAAGTATTCGCAACTTGTTGATACTTATATGGCGCTGCTTATATACACACGAATATAACTATATATACATATATATATATATATATATATATATATGTATATATATTTGTGCGTATTTAAATGGCCAATTTGATGGTTATGCGTAATGAGTGCTGTCGATTAATTCGGTTGAATTAACAAGATGTAGCTGCGTCTATTGTGTCTTGACCTTGTCTTTAGAGGGTGCGAGTGGTCGCAGTGTTTGCCAAATACACCGCAGCAGCAGTTTTAAAATAGTCACAGAGACTGCGAGTAGGATTAGTAGACAGGCATAGAGGTCAAGATTGTGGCGGGCGACAAAGTCGAGATGCAATGCAGGATTCTGCAGGTGGTGGGCGCCCTTGTGCCTCAACACATACTCCGTCCAATAGACAACCGATTGGCGTGCGGTGAGCGGTCGATCGCGATAGAGAGCCGAAAAGCTACGCACCTTCTCACGATATGAGGAATTCTGCAGCACCTCGTTGAGGGTCTGCGCCAGCGAAGCCTCCGTGAGCGTGGTCCAGTCCACACTCAGTCCGAAGCCGGCGGAGACCATGTTGTCCGCATTGCTGGGCTGATCGCCGAAGATCGGCATAGCCACCATGGGCACACCATGGTACTGAGCCTCGGCAATGCCGCCCTTGCCGGCGTGTGTAATGAACAGCTTGGTGTTGGGATGGGCCAGGATGTCGTCCTGTGGCAGCCAGTTGTGATAGTAGATGTTCGAGGCATTGCCTGGCGTATGCTGCAGATCATCCCACTTCCAGATGACGCGCAGCGGCAGGCTGGAGAGTACCTTGAAGAAGGTCTCCATCACATGGGGCGGAAAGTAGCCGCTCTTGACATTGGTGCCCAGGCTGAAGAAGATGGCGCCGTCTTTGGCATTATCCAAGAACTCAGCCAGCTCGCTGGGCAATGGATCTGGCTGCTCCTTATTCTGCACGCCACCAACTTCTATGGACTGAGGCACAGTGGGTCGGATTGGACCCTCGCTGTGCGAGTGATAATTGTAGAAGAGCAACGAGATATTCCGCCTAACCTCCCAGTAGCTGGGCATCTGCAGATCCGCTCCAAAGGCACGGCTGAAGGAGAGACGAGTCAGTTCAGTTCAGTTTTGTTGCTCTATGGGATCAGTGGAAGGTTACTCACTTGTAATAGTTTACCATGCGCCTATCCAAGATGATGGCGCTGCTCTTCAGGATTACCCAGGTGAAGTAGTTCTTCAGGCGCTGGCCAAAGTTCATGGCACGTTGACTGCTATCCACGCACACATTAAAATTGGGAACATAGGCCGGATCGTAGATGTTGCCCACCTCGTCGTCGATATGCATGAATGGCACGCCCACCCAGCTGATGACAGCGGGTATGCCCAGTTTGGCTGCCACGCCCAGCTGGTAATCATTGAAGATGAAGCCGAGAAACAACAGATCAAATTTCGTTTGCGGCCGCTCGTAAATGGCCCGCACATTGGGATGCAATAGGAATTTATATTGAGAGTCCAGCATTACGGCCGTTTTCATCAGCATTCTGTAGATGGTGGCAATCATCGATACCTTGTCCTTGGTCGAGCTCTCCATGAACTGATTAACTTCCGCCAAGGTCTCTTCACTGAAGGGTGCCATGATCAGTGTAATGTTCTCATGTGGCGCTAGCTTTGGCTTCATGGCCGAGACAATGGTCACGTTGTGTCCGCGATCGGCCAAGGTTCGCATCATCGCCATGTGCACCACCAAATGGGATGGACTGAACGTGCTGAAGAGGCCCAAGATGTTGGCGCCATCTGTTGGCCGGCAGGACAACACGAGGAGTATAATTGCGTAAGCAGCCAACTGAAGTTTAGTTCGGCTCATGTTTGCCTGAGGACTTGATCTCAACTGAATGAACAGTGCGCTGTTCAATGGCTTTTTATGGAAGTAGTATCGGCAGACACCAGACAAAGGAGGAGAGAGAAAGATAGCTAAGGTTCTTGTCTCTTTCTCTTTGCTCAAACACTCATTTGCACCGTCAAGATGACAAGGCCGCGTCATATTATCTTTGTAACTGGTACTCCAAAGAGTCAGTCTGGTATGATAGACGTTTTCGTAGTAACGATCTAAGTAATATATATATTTATACGTTGATAAGCGTTATCTGTGCTCAGCGCTAAGCTGATATGCTATAAGCTATACAAGGAGCTGAATTTTTTATTATTTCCAGTTTCTTAAACTCTTTCGATTATTTGTTTTTCTTGATATAAAATATGTATTTAATATAATATATATTTAATATATATGTAAGCCAAATGAATCGTACAAAATATATACATATAGTACGAACAAGTTGATAAACTCAACTAACTTATTTCAACAAGTCATTCCATTTACATACTTATTAATAATTTTATTTAGTTTCTAAGCTTAATTTAAAAATCAGGAAATGGCTTCAAACTTACTCTGACTGTTCCTTTATTGCAATGGTATATGAAAATTACACTTGGTAAATAAATAAGTTCGCATAACGAGGCCCATGAGAGAGACAGAGAGAGAGAAAGAAATATTAGTTCTACACAAGCTCCAGTTCTCTCCTTGTAGGAACTCTTAAGCAGTACCTAAATACCTAAGAGTACCTAAGTATTACTCCATAAAATATTTAATATATGTATGTATGTACATACATATATTTTTTTATTTATAAAATATACATGTAATGATGAAGTTTGGCACTGTTAAGGAGGCTATCCACAGACGAATTTGTTACACGAACATGTTGTGTTCGTCAAATATTCGAATGTAGATAGGAGTGTTCGTACGAACATTTTGTTCGCCGTTTGTGTTCGCATAAAAATAGAAATGTTTCTATCTTACGGGTGTTCGTGCGAGTATGTTCGACAATGGATTCGAGTATTCGCACGAACATGATTTCTAGAAATATTTCGGACAGTCAACATAGGCCAAAATGAACCGATAATTTCTTGATTGTTTTCAAAATGAGCAGGCTTTGTGGCAAAATAAAAGCAAAAACTATCCAAATAAAAAGTTGCGCGACAAATCATGGGACAAATTATGATTAAAATATAAAGCTTTCGAAGAAAACGCCACAATTAATGTCGTCAGAGCAAAAGTAAATTGTCTTCACGCTTCATACAGGCGGGAACTGGAAAAAATAAAAAGAAGCTCAAAGTCAGGTGCTTTCTTTTGTTTTAAATAAACATTCATTGCCACTAAGCTCGATTTTGTTTTCTTCCGCTGGCATGTTCACAGTCCAAAATTTGTTTCAAAATGACGTTCGCGAACATGTTCGTGAAAATGTTCGCATAGTTAGTAGGCAGACTCGGCGAACATGTTCGTGTAACAAATTCGTCAGTGGATAGCCCCCTTTAAACAGTATTTTTACTAGTCATGGAGTATTTAATTTAATTTCTTTCTCATATTTGTAACAACGAACGACATCTAAATTAATCAAATGATTTCCAAATATATATGTTGTTTTTATACCCTAAACCCATTTTCAATGGGAAATCAGGGTATAATGGTTTTGTTGAAATGTATATTACAGGCAGAAGGAGGCGTGGCAGACCCCATAAAGTATACATATTCTTGATCAGGGCGACGAGCTGAGTTGATTTGGCCCTGTCCGTCTGTCTGTCCGTCCGTCTGTCCGTATGTATGAACGCGTCGTATTTTCGCGTATTTTTCGGTTATATAAATACTGCTATTTAGAAGTTAAGTTATTAATTTATACAAATTTTCTTAGCAAAACTTATTCAGTTTCCACACACATATGTATATCTCTATCTATAATCAGTGCCTCTTAACTTTCTGTGACTTTCTACACAATTTGCGGTAAGTAAATCTCAATGCAAGCCAAGTTAAGAGCACAACTAAAGTTAAAGCGGCTAAAACTGCAGCATAAACATCTATATTAAAGTAGGCCAGGGTGGACATGTGGACAGCCGGACTTTGCAGATGCACGGCTCCGTTGTACCTTAGCACGTAGTCCGTCCAGTAGACTACGGACTGTTTGGCCGTGAGCGGTCTGTCCCGGTACAGTTTTGAGAAGCTCTTGATGGCCCTGGCGTATTTCTCATTGCCAATTACCTCCTCAATCTTTGCCCTAAAGTTCTCCTCGTTGAGCATCAAGAGATCTTGGGATAGCCCGTAGCCAGACTTTTCCATGCTGTCTGCATTGGCGGGCTGATCACCGAAGATCGGTAGAGCCACCATTGGCACTCCGTGGTAGCGCGCCTCCGTAATGCCGCCCTTCCCGGCGTGCGTGATGAAGAGCTTGATCTTGGGATGGGCCAATATGTCGGGCTGGGGGAGCCATTTCTTATAGAGTATATTTGCTGATTTGCCGGGCGTATTATCGAGATCCTCCCACTTCCAGATGACATTCTGCCTCAGGCTCGACAGCACCTTGAACATGGCCTGTATTAGCTCAGGTTTCACAGCGGTGCTCTTTATATTGGAGCCCAGGCAGAGCAAGATCGCTCCGTGCTGAGATGCCTCCAGAAACTTGGCTATGTCCTCCGGCAACGGATCGGGTTGCTCCTTGAGCTGAATGCCTCCGATTTCCACAATGGCTGGCACAAGTGGACGAATGGCACCCTCGCTTATCAAGTGACTATTCGTGAATAGCATCGACACATTGCGCTTCATCTCGGCCAGCGTGGGGAAGTTCGGCTCCTCACCGAACTGTGTTTCATAGAACCGATCCAAACGTCTGTCAAGTATCAACATCATGGCCCTCACAAGTAATTCCTTACTGAGGTTTTCTAGACGCTTGGCAAAGCCCATCTGTTCACCCTGGCCCAAAGCCGTCTGTATATTAGGCACATAGGAGATCTCTGTGGGATTGCCAACATACGTGTTGATTATAGACGCCGGCGCCTGCATCCAGGAGATGATTACAGGCACCTTTAGTTTGGCGGCCACGCCCAATTGGAAATCATTGATGAAGTAGCCCATGAACATCAAATCGAACTTCGTTTCGTAGATGCGCTGGAATCGAGGATCCGACAGCAACTGAAACTGCGACTCAATCATCACACTCATGCCGCTCATCAGGCGAATCATTGTGGAGAGGAGCGAATTCTTCTGCCCAGCCATCTCTTTCATCTGGCCCTCGAGTATGTGCTCCTGTTCGTCCGTCAATGGGACCACGATCAAATGAATGTCCTCGTGCATGATCGTCGGCTTCATCATGGTCACCACGGTCACATTGTGGCCGCTCTCGGCCAGCGCCTTGATCATCGACATGTGCAGTATCAAATGCGATTGACTGTGACTGCTGAACAGCCCCAAAATATTCGCTCCTCGCGCAGGCAACGCGATCAGCAGGAGGCAGAGCCCGACTACACTCAACCGTAACGTGGCCATGTTGCTTGACGACTGTTCTCCGGTATGCCTTATTCTCGACCAGTCGACTGTAGGCCCCAAACAGGTCTATTTATAATTGAAAGCCAAACGAAACTCGGTTATCGAACTATTTTTTTTTTTTTTTGGCTGCCTATCGCTAACATTCAGATTACGAGCCACCCAAACGGCATGGGCTTGTGCCACAATTAAGTTAAATGATGAAAATTGTATGAATTACAATCAAATTTTATGTATTGCATGATTTATTTACATTGTAGAGCATTTGGGCGTCGGCATTACCCTTAATTATTTCATATCTGTATATCAATGGACTCCATATATTTTATTTAAATGCATTTAGTTTTATATTCCGCTATATATTGTTAAATCATCAGTCAAGTTTATTTGATTTTTAGTATACATTATAATTAGTATGCATATGTATAAATAAGTCTGATCAAGTTGAATATTGTTTGATCTCGATGGACTGCCTTTTATATAGTCGTACTCGACCAAATAGATGCCTAAACAACTGGCATACTACAGTTTATATTGTTAAGTTAAGCCAAAGGTCCCAGTTGTCAGGGCCTAATTCTTAAATTTCGATTTATTCTAATCTCAAAAAAAAAAAAAAAAAAAAAAAAAAAATAAATAAATTAAAAGGTACCGTCAGGAAAGCTATAAAAAGCTAAATAAATAAATAATATATTCATTTATTTTCCCAAAATTTATTCAATAAATGCAACTATGGTATATATCTTATAGACCCCATCCACAAATTTTAAGTTATCGAGTAATATAAGATGTCATATGTTCATTATATGTTCATTAATTGCAGGGTATATTCCAGTCGCCCACACTCGCCATTCTCTTTCTTGGCATTATCGCCATATAACTAAATTTTAACGATTAGACAAATGTTAAGCACTTATTGAAATTATGTAATTTCGACTGCGCCGTGACACAATTAGAAGAGCCGTCAAGCTTTTAAGTTACGCTAATTTACTCTCTTCACTATTTGTATGCAAGTAAAGCTAATAACTTGTAATATATAAAAATAAGAGAGAGAGAGAGAGAGAGAGAGAGAGAGATTCAGGGGAATACAGAGAGCAAAGCTTTCTTTTATCAACTTCCTTGGCACCGCTGATTAATAGTATATAAAACCGAGATAGTTTTTAATTGCGGCACATAAAACTCGTTTACACTCTGCATATAAAAAAAAACTATATACATATATTTAATAGGCCATAGTACACCCAAATACCTGTACAACACTTTAACTTGGCTCATAAACTATTCACCTTTCTTGCTGCCCGGCGGAATGGGATTCGTTTCCATGCGCAGCAGCTGCTGTGTTTGCCCCTTAATGTGGCCCCAATGGCTCATTTCACGTAGCTCCGACTTGAATTCCCTCAGGGTTTGCTGTAGCTCCGGGTAGAGCTGTCGCAGCACGCCGTGATCCAAGGTGGGGAACATGTGATGCAGTGCGTGTTCGCCAAAGTGCGTGAGCACCAGCAAATCGGACCACTTGATGTCGCCACGATCGATGATCGTGTCGAGCTGAAAGAGACCCCAATCGCGATCGGGTCGTGGCGCATCGCCGTCGTGGTAGATGCGAGGATCATGATGAGCCGCTGTCAAGCCAATGAAGCCAAATAGAAAGCTGCCCATGCCGAGGATAATCAACCAACTAAAGATCACAGAGCTGAGATCAGCATTTGTGGATGCATAGAGAAAGACGGGCAGCGTGAAGCCCAGCAGATCGTGCCAGTACATGACGTTCCGTTTGAGCAGCGAGTAGACCAGTCTAAAATGGAAATGAATGTATTAGAAATATCATAATCAATGGAAAAGCTCTTTGACTAACCGCTCGGTAAACTGCACCAGACTCATAACTGTATATATAAAAGGCGATATCAGCACAGAGATCACGCGCTGCACTCTGCTCGCATAGTGCCGACTGGGCACCCAGCAGAGGAAGGGCTCGAAGAGCGACATCTCCAGATCGTGCAACGAATTGGGATAGACGTGATGGGACAAGGCGTGCGAGATGCGCCAGCTGTTGCAGTTGAGCAGCAGCAGATTGAAGCTATACATGCGCCAATTGTCCCGCTGATGGAAGTAGTTGTGAGCCGATGTCGAGAGCCAGCAGAGCGACAGACCCGCAAGGGCACGCAGTGGCAGGGAGTTGAAGGCAGTGCCAGCCCAGCTGAAGAACAGCAGAGAGATCAGGATGCCGGTGTGTAGGAGCTGCGGGTGGAAATAATAAGGCAAACTCTTATAGCTAAGCTAAGCGAATGGATAATTTTTATACTTCGCCTAAGCAATCGAGGTTGAGAGCTCTAATTAAAAGATTTAAAAGATTTCATATTTTTCGTATATATACTTTTTATCTATCTATTATTATCTATTTATATTATCTATTATCTATCTATTATCTATTATCTATTTATACTTTTTATCTATCTATCAACTTGACCATAAATTTAGACGTTTTTCTACGAAGCTTTAATATGTAAAGACCAGATATATATAACATATCTTTTAATATTAAAGCCAAGATCTGGAACCGGTATTTTCCGTTTACACTTTGATGTTAATACGCTTTCATGGGGCGTGAATCCATAACGTTTCATTATATTTATTTATAGAGCTGGTCAAGGTAAATAGAGTCCAATCTCTCGCTAACACTAATATAGATCTATCTATAAACTGTATAATACTATAATCTTATCTCTTCACTTACTAATTCTTGAAGAGAGATTATACACACAAGAAACTCTTTCAGTCATAGCTCTAAGCCATTATCTAATATATGTATACAAAATAATCATCATCAATCATCTGGCTAAAGCTCACAAACAGAAATACTTTAACGAGCTACTTACATCTGTTTTATGGCTGGGTCGATAGTTCAGTTGGCGCAGCTTCTCTTGCACTCGTCGCTTTAAGGTCAAGTAGAAACCTTTCTCTTCCAGCGTAAATCTATAATTTCTCGGCTGAGCAGCTGATCGCACCTCGAACTTGCTGAGCATTCGTTGAGCGTGTTCCTCGATGTGATGTGACTCGAAGGGTTCGGTTATATCGGTGCCCTTTGTCCGTTCTATCCAGAAAGCGCCGCCCGGATGTCGTCGAGCAAAATCCGTCAGATCGTAGAGCTTATCTTTGATACGCCATAGACCTTCGGCTGCATCGTCGCTGTGTTTTCCCTCCAGCCAGCTGCAAGAGCATGTGAATGGATTACAACTATGATTGGGGTATGTAGAGTTTAGACGCACCTCTCTTCACTGATGGGCCACTCTCTGCGATAGCTGGGATATGTACGGGTTATGCCAGATACACGCCAAGCCTCCAGCTCAGCCAGCTTCTGATTGGGAGCCATTTTTCACAGATTTGGCTGTTAAATTACAGCCCACCCACCCCAAGTGTTTTATATATTTGATTTATATATATATATATATATTAAGTTAATCGAAGTCCAAGCGGTTAATTAATGCAATGATAAAACCGGTCTGTTTCCCCGCAGAACCTATTCGACTCGGCGTCTGCTTTGTTTATGAAGCGCTTCGTGGAAAGTCGCTTTGCCCTGGTTTCGCCTATAAAAAGCTCTCCAAACATATCAAAGTCAAGAGAGCTTTGAGCTTTTGTAGCGCCTCTTATCAGTGTCTTCAACAGACCAGGCATACAAATACTGCGAGATCATATGGAATTAGATCATGCCGCAGCTTGGAGAGAAGTTTTGTGGTGTACAAAACTTTAAATACAAGTATTTAAATAATGTGAATATTATTAATAATGTTTAAGAATATTAAAATAAAATTTTTACATTATTATTTAACCCTCTTTATATGGGTTAAATAATAATGTAAACATTTTAATTATTAAAATTTTATTTTAATACTCTTAAACATTATTAATAATATTCACATTATTTAAATACTTGTATTTGCTGTAGCACTTCATTAATCTATGATTGATATTAAATCTAAAATTTTTTGCTAGAAATATATATACATATAGAGCTGCAGCCATGTCATGCCAATTCATTCTTCAGAGAGAGAAATCTTCCGTTCATCGCGCAGAGATAAACAAGCATCAATATTAATCATGACTCATCAGAGGAAAATGCTACTACCTTTTTATATTTTTATATTTTCAGATCAAACCGCATCGTCATCTAAGGGTGTCCAATAACATCATCATCATCATCAACATCATTATTATATAGCCACATTATTAAGTGGCCGTACATGCTAAAATTTAACAAATATAAATATGTATATATGTGTATATAGAATTAATTAACCAAAAATTGTATAAATTTGAAGAGCAATAAATGATCAAACTGCTTCTTATTTAAAACGGGATTTTTTCTAATTTCCAGAAGCATTCAGAAATCAACAGTCAAAAATATGAACTATACAAAATATAGTTGCCTAACTTAAGGAGCTGTTTAAAATTTTTTTTTTTTTGAATTTTGGTTTATTAAGTGTAGAAACTGTACAATCACATATAGTACTTTAACAACACATATATATACATAAAATTAGAGCCAAACCTCACTCAATTTGTGAGGACTGAGAAAAAAAGAAAAATAATAATAATAATATTTATTGAATACCCATTGTTTTGGCAAAGCCCTGCCGTTTAAGTCGTCTTAGGGGTCTGGCAGGTGTTAGACCTCTTGCGAGTAGGCTTTGATATCGTACAAGTCTGTCTGAGTATCTGCTTGTGTGTTTATTTATTTGTTCTTCGACAGTAGACAGCTTGAGGTCTCTATGCAGTGTTGAGCCGCGTATGTACCAGGGACAGTTTGTTATCTGCCTTAACACTCTGTTCTGCAAAACCTGCACTCTTTTATAATTCGATTTTGCAGCGATCCCCCAGATTTGCACTCCATAGAGCCATATTGGTAGGATGCAGTGCACATAGACAGCTCTTTTGCATCTCAGCGGTACGGTGCTCTTTCTATTGGTGAGCCATCTTAATTGTTGCAGTCTGTGACGACATTTTTTCACCGTAGCTTTGAGGTGTGGACCGAAGGTGAGGCGCTTGTCCAGTGTGATGCCAAGATATTTCACCTGAGCAGGTTGCTGTAGGGTTACTCCCGACATCTGGATTGGGGGGTATGCATTGCCAGCCTTTTTAGAGTGAAGCAAGGGTTCAATGTTTTTAGCGGGTTAACTTTGAGATTCCACCGCTTGCACCAATCAGCGAGAGTATCCAGATATCTCTGTAGTCCTGTACTTGCTTCAACCACGTTTTTTGAGTTATAGATGATGGCAATATCATCAGCATATGACAGCTTTCGAGGGAGCATCCATATGTTGAGAGGACGGGCTAGGTATATCAGAGGTGTACAAGGAGAACAGCAGCGGACCAAGAACACTGCCCTGCGGCACTCCTGCTCTCATAGGGTATGTGGACGAGAGTGTATCTTTTACCTTGACTTGGAACACACGGTCTTCTAGATAAGATCTTAAGAGGCCATAGTACGGAGCAGGTAGAAGGTTTTTTATTTTGTACAGTAATCCATCGTGCCACACCTTATCAAACGCTTGCTGCATGTCGATAAAGACAGCGTTGGAGTATTCAGAGTCATCAAAAGCCTGCAAGATGTGTTTCACCAGTCTATGGACCTGTTCCACTGTGCTGTGTCCCTCCCGGAATCCAAATTGGTGATCCGGTAGGATATTGGATTGTCTAAATATTGCGTTAATGCGGTTGGCAATGGTCCTCTCCCATAGTTTAGACAAGGAGGGCAGTAGACTTATAGGCCGATATGACTCTGGATCCTCTTCCGGCTTGCCAGGCTTGTGGATCATCAAGATAGCAGCTAATTTCCATTGCCTTGGGAACACTTGGAGCCTGATGATGGCATTGAAGATTAGTACAATGTAAAGTAGCGCTCTTGTAGGTAAGGCCTTCAGCGTTGCGTTGCAAATCTTGTCTATTCCGGGAGCTTTATTTTTCGGCAATATTTGGATCGCTTCGGTAATTTCTTCAATCCTTATAGGCTCAATAGGCAGAGACATCTGCAAGGGGGTCTGCAAATATAGCTGTATCTCCATGGTCTGCTCCGTCGTAGCATAACTAAATGGAGTAAAACGTTCTTCTAGATGGCATCCGAATGCGTTAGCCTGTTCCAATTCGCATTTAGCAACTTCGCCGTTAGGGCATCGGACAGGTACCTGTCTAAAAGGTTGTCGTTTGAGTGATTTTGTGCATTTCCATAACGAATAGTTTGCATCGATAGTGTAGTCCATGGAAGCCAGTTTTTGCTCGAAGAAATCGCTTCTGAGTTCCCTTAAAAGGTTACGTAGCTGTCTTGCTACCCGGTTCCACAAAAGGCGGTCCCAAGGATCTTGGGATCGAATTGCTCTTCTACGAAGGCGCCTTTTTGTTCTGATGAGTTCTTTGGCTTCTCTCGTTAGAACAATGCCATAATTATTGGGACGAGGCGCAGGATTAAGCGGCGTTGTAGCAGCAGCAGCTCTATATATGTTCTCCGAGAGATTATCAACCGCATTCTCGATGTCTTCGCCGGAGTTCAGACACAAATTCAATTGAATGGAGTCATCTAGCTGTTGTCTGAAAACCTCGATGTCAGTACGGCTGGTTATTAGCCTTGGGCTTGGCCTGATATAATGACCATCGATGTGTAACTCGGCAATAAGGGCTAAATGGTCAGAGTCTAAGTCCCAGCTTTGGTAAATATTTGCTTGATAATGCTGTATCCCATGGTATAATGCAAAATCAATGCAAGAGGGAGTATGACTGGATATATATGGGTACCTAGTAGGAGAACCTGTTGCAAGAATATTAGCTCCTCTGGCCGTGATGGCTTCTGCTAGTTCTCTTCCCCTGGGTGAATTGTATGAATCTCCCCACAGCCAGTGTCGTGCATTCCAGTCACCACCAATAAGATACCTTTGGCCGCAAGAAGCGAGTATGTCGCTGAATTGTCTTTCTTCTATTCTGTTCCTTGGTGGGCAGTATATGGCGCAAAATTCGATGTCTCCCAATCCAGTGGCAACTTTGATTGCAGACATTTGTATATTTTGAGTTTCAATAACCCTTTGTGGGAAGTGGCGCAGTGAACTTCTAACGAATATAGCCGCTCCTCCCATACCATGGTTGTGGCTTGATGGCTTGTAAGCTGGATAGAAGGTGTAGCCATATATTTTGACTGTATCTCCTCGATTCAGTCTGATTTCATTTAATAGTAGAATGTCGATGTTGTTGTTGTGCGCGAATAGCTCCACATCTCTGGCTTTTCCTGCAATGCCATTGACATTCCAGATGAGAATCTTGAGTGGGTTCATTGTGAGGCTGAGGCGTTGTTAAGAAGCTGGTGAGTCGATGAATCCCCAGTCCATTGCTTGAGCATGCTGGCCATTTCGTGGACCATTTTTTCTAGACGTTCTAGTCGTTCACTGTTTCTCTTGTTTTGTTGTTGCTGTTCGCGTTGTTGTGCTTGAAGCCATGAAAGAAATTGCTGCTGTTGCTGCACTTGCAAGTCTTTTTGCCATTTCAAAAATTGTTGTTGTTGTTGTTCCAGTAAAGATTGGACATCAACTTGATGCTGCTGCTGTGAGATATGTCCTATAGGTTTAGCTAACTGGGCTTGCGCTTGAATATTATGTATGCGGCTTTGAGCAGATGCGCTTCCATTTCTTGCTACCGCGGCATAGGATATTCCACCTGCTCCAACTCCAGAAGTATTTGATAGCTGCTGTGGTTGTGGTTGTGGACGCGTTGGTTGATGCTGGTGCTTCCGTTGTGGCTGTTGTGGTCTTGCTTGATTCTTTTTGATCGTAGAGGAGCCCAGTGAACGTCGATAGAACTCCTGGTACCACGGGCAGCCTTTGTAGCTTGCCATGTGGTTACCTCCACAGTGAAGGCAGGTAGGCGGTGCATCTTGTGAACGTGCGCAAAGATTGGTGGGATGGTCCTCGCCACAGCGTGCACAGTTAGGATGGCGACGGCAGTATTTGGCTGTATGGCCATATTCTTGGCATCGGGTACATATGACGATTTCAGAAGTTTTACGCATCCTTTCAACTCTCACCATTTGGCGGCAAAGTGTTTTTATATTGTAAACTTCGTTAATGTTTTTACAAGGTTTTATGTTTACAAAAAATATATTTAATTTTGCATCCCTGTTTGACCGTGACCTTGGGTTGTGAATTTGCAGAGCATCGAAGCCATATTTTTTAAAATTGGCAATTATTTCATTGTTCAAGGTACTATGGTGTAGCCCTCTTACTACAATTCTGTAAGGTTTTTCTTCCTTCATCTGATACGTATGGAACTCAATACCTATCGCATCAAAATGGCTTACGATAGCTCTGTAAGTGTCGCTATCTTTGGGAAATATTCTAGCCGTCACTCCTTGGTTGATCTTGACTGATACGTTATCAATACTGGTGACTTCACTAATGATTTCAAATAGATCATTAAGATCAGTGATACTCACAACGATTTGCGGTGGCTTAGATGACCCGAGCGTCTGTTGGTTGTTGCTGGGTTCTTTATTCTGATGGCTGTTGACTGTATC